GAGATTGTGATTAAAATATAAGATAAAAAATATAATTATTGAATTTAGTATCATATGAAAATAACTAATGATTGATAACTAAAAAATAGTTCATATTAAATCTTAATTGATGGGACAAAAATTAGAATAATACCTAATCTTGATAAATCCCATTTATAAATTTCCAGAAAAAAATATCTACAACAAAACTAGTCAAAAACATAATCTTACCTCAACACCAGAAATGATGGGTAACAAACATCAACTTAACTAGCTGGAGGAAAGAAAACCAAGCTACCTCAGAAAAAAAAATCTAAAATATGGCAATCTATATCACAAATTCTTATATATTTTGCATCATCAGAGAAAAATTCAGAGGAACAAAACAAGTTAAAGTTCCTCAAAACGCATAAAAATTGATCATAATGAAAAACTTTTATAGGCATTTCAATCTTTCATCAAGAACATGAACAAGAACTTCTAAAAATCGACCCGAAAAACTTCCAAAGACAAAAATACGAGTCATCAGGCGACTCCCGAGCTATCACTAACTTCATCTTCCACAAACCATCGGTTAACTCTTTGTCGCGCATTCGAAACCTAATGCAAAACAAACACATTATTCGTAAGAATTTGTAATAAATGTCGACAAGTAAAATTTTACGGCGTGCTCGGTTTTGTATGTACCTGCTTATCCCAATCGGTTCTTTTGGTTATTATCACTAAAACGATGGTTTGAATGAACGTGCCGATTAACATACCAATCCAAACACCCTGCACTAATAGACACACATTGTTAAATATCGAACGATGAAATTTCCTACTTAAATGTCCAGAAAAAAAAAACAAACAAACAAACAAAAAAATAAAAACAAAACTCGCCTCGACTTGTAACTTGATGACATAGCCAAGAAGAACTCCGAAAGGAATCCCGATCAAATAATAGCATCCCAAATTTACGTACACAACGACACTTTGCCATCCAGCACCAATAGCAACACCTTTTTTTTTTCAGAAACATATCGTAAAAATTGAGTGAAAACGCGGAAAAAAATAAATAAATAAATAAAAATTTGATTTCGAAAGTTTAACAAGAAATGTGGGGTTACTTACCGGAAAGAACAGGTTGAACACTGTTCATGAGTATGGAGAATGCTAGCAGGGGTGACAGGTGGGCGACTTCAGCCGCCACGTCATCATCGTTCGTGAATATGTAAGCTAAACGTTCGCGAAAGAAGAGGAAAAATACAAACAGCACAAATCCTAAGGCGAAGGAAGTTAGAACTATGTTCACTATGGAGAATTTCGCGGCCTTCGAGTCACCTTTCCCAAGCTCGTTCGCTACCCGAACACTACAAATTGCAGATCAGAAGACGCATTAATTAATTGTAATCAAATTGCCAAAAAAAAAAAAGTGAAATGAAATAAAATAAAATCAACCTTGCTGCAGCCATGAATCCAAGAGATATCATCATTTCCCAACCATTGATGTTAAGGCTGCAAGAATAATTAAATTAAATCCATGTTCATTCAAACAAATCCTGAAGAAAAACTTAAATCATAGATAATTTGGAATGCGAGTTCAATAAATACCATATCGAAAGGGCATCGATTTCGACCCTCGCATTCTTCAGATTCCCAGTCAAAAGAATCAGTATTGCATTGTACCAGAGCTCGAGACTATCCG